CTTTAGGGCTTCTCTTTGGCATAGCTGAATTGCCAGCATCACTACTATTGTGCTTTGGGGCCATTATTAAGTAAAATAAAGGTTGCTTGAACACGAGCACTTCGATAACTTGACAGTCAATCTGATAACCGAGACGGCTACTAAGTTACTAATGGGTGGGTAGTGTGTACAGCATGGAGATGCTGGACAAAGGGATGATTCACGTCCCGGGTGGCATGGAGCAGGACGGTGTGAGATTTCATCACACTACTCAGCACGGCATGAAATTTAAAACTTATGAATTGTTTATTTCTAGAATTTTCCATTAAATATTTTCAGATCGCTGTTGACTACAGGTAACCGAAACTGTGGAAAGTAAAACCGCAGATAAGGGGGGACTACTGTATATCCATTTCCAGAACTTTTCATCACCCAAACAGAAACTGTGTACCCAAAACAATAACTCCTCATTCCTCATTCCTCCCAGCGTCTGGAAACCACATTCTTCTTTCTGTCTCTATGAATCTGCCTATTCTGGGTATCTCATATACAGGCACACCTCGTTTTGTTGTGCTTTGCTTTATTGTGCTTCGCGGATATTATATTTTTACAAGACCCTCCACCAGCAAAGATTAGAACTCGCTGAAGGCTCAGATGATGGCGAGCATTTTTCAGTAATAAAGCATTTTTTAATTAAGGTATGTACATTGTTTTTTTAAGACACAATGCTATATCACACTTAATAGATTACAATATAGCATAAACATAACTTTCATAGGCAGTGGGAAACCAAAAACTTCCTGTTTTCCTCTGTTGGGACATTCGCTTCATTGCAGTAATCTGGAACTGAACCTGTAATATCTGCAAGCTGTGCCTTAAGTGGAATCATACAATACTTGATACATTGAATATATTAAAATGGATATGATATTCCTTTTAAATGCTCCATCCTCCAGTAAACCCCCCTACACTGGAGGCTTCAGAGCAAGGACTGTCTTCCTCTCCTCATGATGCCCAGCACAGTGCCTTTCACTTAACACATCACCAGCAAATATTTCATGTATTCAACACAAGAATGAGAAGTTAATGAGTGAACATAAACACAAATAAGAATCCTTCACTCTTTCTACCTTTTTACGGAAAGTAACAATTTTATTATTTAAAAAAACTCTCCAAGGAAGCACATGTATACTACCTGATTATCAGCTGACCAAAAATAATGATCCATTATAATCATCTGATCATCTAAATATTATCTAATTGTTCTATTAAGTTGAAATAAGCCAATGCTTTTTGTCAGGAGGAAAAACTAACCCAGGTAACTGACTATTTCAAGGGTTTTACTTCAGACATCTGATCTTGTCACCGACTAGCTGCGGAGGAACTCAAGGGTGGGTTTGGAAGCATTTAACTGTTTTTCCAAATTGTTTCTTTTCCTTTTGTTATGCTAAGGAGATGCAATCACCAACCACCCTGGACCAGACAAGCCTCACGTGAGAGCTACACCTATGACCTTTGCCTCATTTTTAATGTTAAGATCTCTCCAGGAGGAGCTTAGGCCTTATTACCATCACCTGCAGGGTATGTGGAAGCACATTTTCCAACTGAGCCTGCGCAAGCAAATACCCCCCTCTCCCTTGTGAACGTTCATTCCCCGTCCGAAAGGAAAGGTCCCTGCTTCCCTTTGTTCCGGGACGCCATGACTCTGGAAATGATTCCTCATGGTCCTCTATTTGCTGCAAATACACCTTACTTTGTGGAGTCCGCTTTAACTCGCCAGGAGGGAACCCTCTTTGGTTTTGGTAACAATCTCTGATATCTGATGTTTGATTTCTGTTGGTTTTAATTCTCATGCATCCTTCTGAGAAGCCACACTCTCAGCAAAGTTATTTAATTACAGAAAATAGAGAAGCCATAGGTTTACTGGGTGGGATTCAAAACCTTGCCAAATGTGAATGTCGTTCAACAAAGTGTCAGAGTTTGAAAAACAAGTGTACTCAGCAACACTCAATACACAAGTTAAACATTTAACAAAATTTTCAGAGAGCTAGTGGTAGGGAAGAAAGAGAAGAAAAGCAATGAATATTTATTAATAACTGGAAATTTACATTATTTACATTATTATTTCATGTACATTTGAATTCTGTGATTTCAATTATGTAAATAGTCTTTTGGTTGAAAAAGTCAAAACAATCCAAAAAGCAGTTCAAAAGATCTTAAGCAGGGGGCTGGCCCCATGGCCGAGTGGTTAAGTTCGCGCGCTCCGCTGCAGGCGGCCCAGTGTTTCGTTGGTTCGAATCCTGGGCGCGGACATGGCACTGCTCATCAAACCACGCTGAGGCAGCGTCCCACATGCCACAACTAGAAGGACCCACAACGAAGAATATACAACTATGTACCGGAGGGCTTTGGGGAGAAAAAGGAAAAAAATAAAATCTTTAAAAAAAAAAAAAAGATCTTAAGCAGGGGCCAGCCTTGTGGCTGAGTGGTTAAATTCTTGCACTCCACTTTGGCGGCCCAGGGTTTCGCCACTTCGGATCCTGGGCGCAGACATGGCACCGCTCATTAGGCCATGCTGAGGTGGCATCCCACAGAGCACAGTCAGAAGGACCTACAACTAGAATATACAACTATGTCCTGGGGGGGGTTTGGGGAGAAGAAAAAGAAAAAGAAAGGTTGGCAACAGATGTTAGCTCAGGTGCCAATCTTTAAAAAAAAAGAAGAAAAAAGAGAAATAAAAATGAGATCTTAAGCAAGTGAAGATAGAGAAAACAGAGAAGTATTTTGGAATATCCACCTCTGCCTTAACTGCAACATCATCGCCATGATCCTATAATTATCTCATAAACTCCAGCCAAAGAGCAAACATTGACCACTGCCTTTCTCAGCAAACATACGGGACTGATATTTTCAGCTAGTCTTCCCTTGGGTCCAGCCGCCGAAGTACTGGGCTGCCATCTGCTGGTTCCAATTCAATCTTCATGGGAAAGAAGGGGCGGAATACATAGAGGCTTAAAAAAAATTCTTTTTAACTCTTTCTCTTTTTTGGTCATCTCCCAGATGAGACCACAGGAAGCCTGAAGAAGGAAGTGCAGAGGCCTTTCATCTTGGTACCGGGAAGTATAATTCAGCCTCTAAATTCGAGAAAGATTCCTGACTGAACAGTGCACTCTAATACTATTGGGTGGTCACAAAATCTTCTAAGAGTTAGAGAACTCAGAAAATAAACAAATCCAGTTCTAGTTTCACAGCATTGACATTAGAGTTTCCAGAAATAGGGGTGTGGAGAGTGGGAAGGATGAGTCAAATCAAAGAAAATTACTTCGCCCTTGTATCCAACAGGGGTTCATCTCCTGCTTTCCTGTAAAACGGGATTAGTGGCAGGCTATGAAGAGATTTTCCAGCTGGAATCTGGAATTCGAGACGGTGAAAAAGGAGTTTTGTGCAGTGAGGAGTCATTCTGTGGGGTTCAGGGACAGAAGGCAGACCTGCACCGTCCAACACAGTAGCCGCCAGCCACAGCTGCTATTGGGCATTTGAAATGCGGCCAGTCTGAATTGAGCTGTGCTGTCAGTGCAAAATATTCACTGGGTTTCAAAGACTTAGTATGAAAAAAAAGTAAAATATCTTGCTGATTATATATACTGATTACATATTGAAGTGATAACATTTCGGATATATTGAATTAAATAAAATACATTAAAATTAATTTCATTGGTTGAATTTTTTTAACGTGGCTGCTTGAAAAACTTAAAACTACATATGTGGCTCACACTATTTTTTCTTCTGGACAGTGCTGAGTTCAACAAACAATTATGGCTAGTGTTTATTGAGTGCTTACTGGGTTCAAAGGGTTACCCCAGAGGTGTACTATGCTAAGGGTTTTGTGCACACTGGTTTTTTCACTTAATCCTCATAGTAGCAGTATTAAAAATATGCATCATCATCATTCCAATTTTACAGGTCGGGAAACAGACTCAGAGAGAATAAGGAACAAAGGCTAAGTGGTCAGTAAGTGACGATGCCTGGACTTGAACCCAGATGCTGAAGAAGTCAACTCCAGGAAGATCTTCCCCACAATGCACAGACTCTTCGACCAGAGCTCTCTTTGGTCTGACCACTGTTGAGGTCCATTCCTTGCTCCCATTCCCTGACCAGTTCTGTGACTTTGTCATAGGCCTTTTTTCCCCTCTGTAGGACCACCTTGCTGTAAATTCTATGGTCAGGCAGAGGTTTCTCTCCCTTTCATAGTTTCCTAGACCCACATTCAATAACAAATTTAGAGGTGGAATGGTATAGAGAGGTGGAATTCTTTCCAGCTACTCATTCTAATTTTTGTCCATCTTGGCTTTCAGTGTCTCGGGGTATAAAATTTCTCAGACATCATAAATCCTTGAGAAAGTGCTCTAAGAGGTTTTAGACAAAAACAGATTTTCCAGATTTGCCTGGAATTTTTTTTAGCTTTTTTGCAAAGAAGGAAAATTCTGTTTATACAAAAGCACTAGGCAGAATTTCTGTAAGCCTCAAATTCTTCCATTACTTGTGTACACGGAGGCTATCTACACATGCACGCACACGCAGAAGGTCATTTATAACCTGTCTTACGAGGAAATTGGGCTTTGGTCTTTTGAGTTTTTGTGAAGCAAATCTTAAATTTCTAAAATGAATAAGAGTTGTTATTTCTGGAGTAATTATTCAGGAATGAATAAGTGTAACCCCTCCCCTGTGTCCAATTACTTCCTGCTCTGTCTGTAATTATTTTGGTTCTCTCCAGTTGTGAAGTGCCAAGAACCTTTTAGCAGTGTATAGCAGAGCAAAATCTAAACAAACTCTGTTAAACAACAGAATTTTCCAGTGTGAGCAGAGAAAGCAAAGACCAGTTTTGTGAGTCAGCCATTCATCTACTATTCATCCATCCATCCATCCACCCACCCACCATGCCAGGCACGGGGAACGGTGATTCAACAACAGACAAAGCAGAACTCAACCCTGGGCTCAGAGAGCTTATATTCTTGTGGGGAAGGCAGACAATAAACAAGTAAACAAATAAAAACTACAAATTGAGATGAGTCCTATGAAGGAAACAGAAAGGGCAGAGAGATAGAGGGCAACCAACTTGAGATTCAGCGGTTAGGGAAGGCTGCAGCTCTACAGGGGTAGGTGAAGGAAATGGTGCAACAGAAGGGAGCACAAGTGCTGTCAAGAGCATGCAGTTGTAGGAAAGGGATGGTGAATATTGATGGAATACAGTGGGTGTGCAACTGCAGGCCCTCCAAGACCAGTTCAATTGACCCCAACTTATCAACAGAGTAACTAAGGGGGAGTTTTCAGGAACTGAGACTTTCCGCCCAGTTCAGGCCTATTGAGACCACTAACCCATCCACTGGGCCTATGCAAATGCTGACAAGTGAACTTTTTGACGTCAAGAAGCTAAAACTCTCCCTCAGATCATGGTAACACCGCCATTTTGTGAACATGTGTCCTATGAAGAGGCATGAAGCTTGATTACTCTTGCACTGATCATCAATTACTTCACTTCTCCTTACCTCCAACCATCTATTCCTACACTTCAGACGGTGCGGCCCCCTACTCCATAAATACCCCTGAGTCCCCATTTTTGGGTAGGTGGATTTGAGGCTCATTCTCCTGCTTCCTCACTTGGCTGCCTTGTGATTAAATTCTCTCTCTGCTGTGATGTTGTCATTTCAGTGATAGGCCTTTTGGGCAATGGGCAAAAACAAACCTGGTTCAGTAACAAGCATGTGGGAGATATGTAGGTGGAAGCAGCACGTATGGGAGAGATCATCCAGGGACGCTGGGCCAGTAAGAAGTTTGGGTTTTATTCAAAGCTCCAGGGGAAGCTACTCAGAGTTTCTAAGCACATGAGTAACACCTTCAGATTTATAGTTTTTCAAGACTACTCTAGCTGCTGGGTGGACAATAGATAGAAGAGGCAAGGCAAAGTTGGAAGTGTTCTCTGACGTTGAATATTCTTTTACCTCTTGACATTACTGTTCTCCGCGTTTGCACTGCTAACAATTGTGCATTCCACCTAGATTCCCAAATTGCTCCATTCTTTTTCCAGGTTAAAACTTTTTCATTTTTTTTCTTGCTATTTCTGTTTGTTGGCTTTCTGTCTGCATATCTAGAATCTTTAAGCTCCTAAAAGAATAATGTTTCTTTCCTCAGGGCATTCTAAACATCTGGATATAATGTAATATAGAAGTGGCCCATAGTACCAAAGGGCCTGGCACAGGCCCCAGCATCACTCAGAGACCTCTGAAACACTCTACGGAACATTTCAGCGCTTCTTACTTCGAAGCACTCTAGCTCCTCAGCAAAGGTCTTTTCATAATAATGATGAAGTGCTGTGTGTGGCTCTCTGACAAAAACTCAGCACTCCGAGGACACGCCTTGCCTCCGGGACAGGCACTGCCCCAAGTGGGACCCTCCCTTAAGCTGGCAAGCTCATGCAAGCCCTGTCAATGGTCCCACTGGGGCTTATTTGGCGCTTTCCTCAGGTCTCAAACAGTGTGCTGACCTGGTCTACTGGCCTGCCAGGCTGTCTCTGCCGCCTGGTGCTCCCTGCTGGTTATCGCTTGGATTAACACTCCCCCACCACCTCTTTAGGGCATGCAGGGCAGTAACATCTTTTTCAAGGAATGAAAAGACTTCTTGTCCTGGAGATCTTCCATTTGCCCCTCCAGACCTATCTCCACCCTTCTCAGCCTTGCTCTGAGCCACTGGGGGCTGACCTGTGGACACTACACAGATGTCTTCTGGCTTCTAGCTGGGTTTGGCCAATGAGGACCCTAGCAGGAGATCAGAGGGAAGAGAATGAGGTTAGCATTTTTTTCCCCCCACTTCCTCCCTAGAGGTGGCTCAGGGCAGACTGCACCCCATTCTGCCCCACGGCCTCCTTCACAGGGGGCTCCATTTCTGCTCCCTCCCCATGCCCCTTCAGGCTGAAGGACAACAGCACTCCTGCTGTTACTGGTCCCAGGACACCCTACTCCTCTCCACCTTCATCCCTTTGTTAAATAGTCCTAAAATTATCCCAGTTTGAATGCTCCATCTCTTCCTGCTAGGACCCTGATAGATACGAGAACCTTGTTGAGAGTCCCTCTTGCCCTCCCACTGACAGGGTGTAATGACTCTGATCTCTGACCTGCAACTGAGAGAGACCAATGTCTCACCCCCTCCCCTTCCTCCCTTCAGCAAGAGAGTCCTTCCCGACTGACCACACCCTTCTCTCCCAAGTCTTTAAGACCACTTAAGTCATTCCCACTGAGGCCCAAGTCAGGCAAACAAGGTCCCACAGAGAAAGCAAGGTAGTCCCCCCAAATCACAGGCTACATGTGCTACATATTCTCTCTCCTTGACTACCAATGAAGACAAAAATGTGGGGGTGTACACTAACCCTTAAAAGCACAGCACTAATATACAAAGAGATGCAATATGGTGAACCATATTATTATTCAAGAATAATAGCTAACATTTATTGAGTATGGACCATGTGGTAGGTGCTAGTCTAAGTACTTTGCATATATTAACTCGTTTAATCCCCACAACAATCTTAAGAGACAAGGACTATTATCACCCTCACTTTGCAGGTGAGAAAATCTAGACACAGAGAGGTTACATATTTATCCAAGTTATACAGCTTGGAAATGGCAGATCTGGAATTTGAACCAAGACTAGTTGGTTATAAAATTGATACTCTTAACCACAATATTGTAAATAATTAAGGTCTATTGCAAAATCTTAGTACGGAATCCTGCATTCAATGCTTACAGCTTATGATAAAAATATTGGTAAGGAGAAAATAAGATAAATACTGGAAGCCTACTTAAGAAGGAAGGTAGACTGCTTAGTGGATTGAAAACAAAATAAGAAGAAATTTTAAAATACTGTCAAATAATTTGACATTAGAATATTGAATTAGGGCAAAAGCCATACTTTAAAATCTTGGAAATGTTAATTTTGACAGAACAAATTTAGATTTAAAATAGGTTGTTGGCGAAGATATCAGATCTCCTAGGATGCTTGCCTTTACAAACAGGGTATGTATGCATTTACGGTAATGGTTCTCAAACCTGAGTGCAGGAACGGCCGGGGGCTTGTCAGATACAAAGATTCCTGGGTCCCACATCAAACTTCCGAATAGGAACCTAGGGCATCATAGTAGGCAGAATAATGGCCTCCCAAGATGTCCACGTGCTAATCCCCCAAACCTCGGAATATGTTCCCTTACATGTCAGAAGGGACTTTGTAGATGTCATTAAGTTAAGGATCTTGAGTTGAGATTTTCCTGCATTATGGGGGTGGGCCCAATATACTCGCAAGGGTCTTCGTAAGTGAAAGAGGGAGGCAGGCGTTTCAGAGTCGGAGCAGGAGCTGTGATGGCAGAAGCAGAGGACGGAATGATGTGGCCACGAACCAAAGAATGCTGGTGGCCTCTAGCAGTTGGCAAAGGCGAGGAAACAGATTCTCCCTAGACTGTCCAGAAATCGTGCACCCCTGCTTTAGGCTTCTAATTGTAACTTTGTTGTTTTAAGTCACTAGGTTTGTGGTAACTTGTTACAGCAGCAACAGCAAACTAACACAAGAGTCAGTTCAGGGAGCTGCATTTGTGACAAGTTCTGGGTGATTCTGGGGCAGAGGATTTTTGAGGAACACCGCATGATAAGAACAGCCTAACTACAGGCTTCCGGCAACAGGACAGAAGTGATCAACAGTCCATCCAGCTTTTCTTTTTAAAAGGAGGCCCACCTCCTTTTAAATTTCCAAATATTCTGGTCTTTTATTTATGTAAAAAATATAGGTCACTGGTTTACCACGTGTATCAGTAATGATCATGCATAGTCATGAACAAAAGTGTAATTATGAACAAACATGGCGTATGGAGTCAGCTAGACCCAGGACCCCCACACCTCCGAGCTGTGTAACCTCAGGCAAGTTCCTTCACCTCCATGAGCTTCTGTTGTAAACCCACTTGTAAACTCTAGGATAATAACACCCCAAATATGCATATTTCAAAGGGCTTGGCACAGCAGCAGGAACATAACAAATGCTTAGGAAAACGAAATGTCCTTTCTGTTCTCCGTCTCACCCTCCCCTCCTTCCTTTCCCTCTTTCCTCAAGTATAACGACAAACACTGGTAAGATCCTAGGTATGTGAGTCCTCACGTAACAGTTCATGTGCAGTCTTTGTTTACGCAGAGCCCCCTAGACGATGTGTTAACGGCTTCCACTTCCCAAAGTGAGGTGCTAGGCCACCCAGCCAGAACTTACAACGCAGATGTTTAAAACTAGTTTTGTTACCCTTAACCCAGATCTCACCCTGTACAAAATATTTGCGATCGGAGATCAGACAAGATTTCTCAATAGAGTATGACTGATGTGCTGTGAACCGTCCCTCCACCAGATGGGAGCTTGATAATTGCTTCTTGCAGACGGCCTCTGATGTGTGCTTCAAAAACGTTCTGCAGGAAACTGCGTGGCTGAAACTTCCCACGGCGGCGGGGACATGTTTGTTTGGGAAGTGACCGCGCGCCCTCTAGTGGCGGATGAGAGGGGAGCGTTTCCTACGGGCCTGATGTGGGCCACAGAGGAGAGAGCTGCGCCCGGGGCTGTCTTAAATCCTCGGGGACAATCCTGCGGCCTGGAGGGGCCAGGAGAACTCAGCAGAAGGAGGTTGGAACTGTTTTTGCTTGAATCTAAGAGAACGGCTGTTGAGAGATGCCCAGTGAGATGGGGAGGACTCTGAAGGACCCACAAATAACTCCACAGAATGAGTGTGAGCAGGTGTGGGGGGGGGGGGAGGGGAGACAGGAATGGAGAATAAACTTTTTCTTATGCACCCCTTGAGTCTTGATTCTTCAATACGATGACTTTTTTTTTACTCACTGTAAAGGGAAAATTATATAAGATCATTAAGAGTTTTCAGAAAAAAATCACATTCTGAAAAGTTTTCTAATTTCTGAAGGAATGTAAATCCTGTTTTATACCCTTTGAACCATATAGAAATCATTTGTTCACATTTTTGTACACACATTTGTAGATCCTTTTCCTTTCCTCAGTAGGAAACAGCTTAAGTGTTTCTTTCTAACTATAACAGTAATTTATGCTCACTGTAAAAACAATTTACCAAGTACAGAAAAGTCTAAATAAAACGTAAAAGTCACCTATAATCCCAAGAATCATTGTTAAATACTGGTAACTTCTTGGAACATGTTCTTACAGACTTTCAAATTCATAATTCTCAGAGTTGGAAAAATATGTTTGGAGACAATGTACATTGGTGTCCCTCTGAAGGACAGAAATAGTTTCTGGGTTACAGCGCCGCTGGGCAGCCTGTTTCAATACTTCTGTGATTGCAAGTTCATTTTCTCACAATTCCCTCCACACAGGAGATGGACTTTGGGCTCAGTCCCTCTGTGTTCAAACTATGGCTCTGCCGTTCACTACTTTGACCTTGGGTAAGCCATTTAACTTCCCCAGTCCTCATTTTTCTCATCTGTAAAATGAGGGTAATAATAGCAGATACTTTATCAGTTTTTGAAGCATTTAATGAGATGATAAATATAATTAGCATGGTGTCTGGCTTACAGTAAACTCTCAATAAATGCTGGCTTTTACAACACTTCTAGGCTGTGTCCTCTGTCGGCCTTCTGGATTTCTACAAAATAAATTCAATCCCTCTTCCATGTGAGGCCTTTAAGTATCTGAAGATTTCCCTCATGCTTTTTTTTTTTTTTTTTTTTTTTGAGGAAGATTAGCCCTGAGCTAACATCTGCTGCCAAACCCCCATGCCCTGCCTCTGGCAACCATCAATCTGTTCTTTGTATTTATGAGTTAGGTTTTTGTTTTGTTTTGTTTTGTGAGTCCACATGTAAGTGAGATCATACAGTATTTGTCTTTCTCTGTCTGACTTATTTCGTTTAGCATAATGCTCTCAAGGTCTATCCACGTTGTTGCGCATGGCCAGATTTCATTCTTTTTTATGGCTGAATCATATTCCATTGTATATATATGCCACATTTTCTTTATCTATCGGTGGACACATAGGTTACTTCCATGTCTTGGCTATTGTAAATAATGCTGCAATGAACACGAGGGTGCACGTATCTTTTCAAGCTAGTGTTTTTGTTTCCCTTGGCTGGCTCGTATGGTAGTTCTATTTTCAATTTTTTGAGGAACATCTGAATTGCTTTCCGTAGTGGCTGTAGCATACTCCTCCCTCTACTTAGTTTCACAGATGGACTCTTTAACAACCTGTTCCATAATTTTTCCAGGATTTGAGGGTAAGCTCATTGGTTTTAAATTTCTGGAATCTTTCTCCTCTTGAAAAAAAACTTAGAGTATTTGCCTCCATTAAGTACTTTTCAAACCTCTCTGAGTTTTCAGAGCTTATTATTACATGTTTGGCAACACACCAGTGAATTCTTTTAGGACTCTGGGGTGATATTTATCAGGGACTGATCATCTGAACTTTCAAGTGTGGCTCTCTGACTTCCATCCTCATCTGCCAGGGCTTCCATTTCTATTAATGAATCCACCTGCATTCTCCAGGACAAAGACAGAGACAAAATATGTACAATATATTTCATTCATGGTTTCTTTATTTACTTATATTTATATTTAGGTGTGAATATGCCATTTTATATGTCATATTGTTAGCATATCAAATTTTTAAACGTATACATTGGCTTGCTTACGAGACGGCTTAACAAATACTATATGATCCTGGTGATAAAGATTATAATGATGGTGAATTCATGAGAAACATTAAACTGCAGCAGTTTAACTTGCCAGGTTTCTTTTCTCTAGAGCTCCATCCTCTTGTTCCTCATGATCTTTCTAGCAATAGAAATTTTAAAAATATAACTTTTTGTCCCTTGAATAACAAACTAATTTTGCAGAAACTAGATTTCGTAGTCTTAACTGAGCTTGCTTATACTTCTATAATTTTGGCTTCTAGAAATGAGTGTCATTCTCTCAATTGCATGGATTCTAATTTTTGTAATATATCTTGTCTCCTTAATTAAATGGAAATAATCCTTAAAGATATTCTCAACATTTCCTTATTCAAATTCTATTTTACACATTGAAAACAATTAATATGGACCATCCTTTCTCCTCATTTCCTTAAGAGAAAAGTAGTATCTCTCTGTTGATTCCATCAGGGTATAATAAAGCATACTGTATTTCTCAGATCCTAGAATGCATTGATTGTAACAGATTGCAGAGGAAAATAACACATTAAATATATACATTGATTTTCTAGTTCATTCTGTCTTTGTGTGCTGCCTTGCTAGCGTACTCTGTGCCACAGATCCTATGGCAGAAAATGCCACTCTCAGCTCCTCAGTTTATATGGTACAGGTACAAGTCACACAAATAGACTAAACCAATCTCTCTCTTCTCCTTTTTTCCTCCTCCTGCTTCTCCCTCTCCTTTCTCTGCCTCTCTCTCTGCCTCTCTCTCTCTTTCTCTCCCTCTGTCTCATTCTCTCAATTCAAATTGTCAACAGGAGAGACTCTGGCAGGCCCCCTCTGAGTTAAGTGCCCACCCAGTCCCATAATCATGCACGATGCCAAAAGGCCTCCTTGTGAATTGTAAGGGGTAGGCTGGTAGGGGCACTTAATTTGGGAATGGGGCAGACATTCCAGAAACCATCTGCTATGAGAGCAGAGTGATCTGCACTTTCTTGATGCGCTCTCTCTCTCTCTCTATATATATTTTGTGTGTGTGTATGTGTGAGAAGGATTGGTCCTGAGCTAGCATCTGTTGCCAATCCTCCTCTTTTTGCTGAGGAAGATTGTCGCTGAGCTAACATCTGTGCCAATCTTCCTCTATTTTGTATGTGGGATGCCATGACAGCATGGCTTCATGAGTGGTGTGTAGATCCGTGCCCAGGATCCATACCTGCGAATTCCAGGCCGCCGAGGTGGAGCACGTGAACTTAACCACTATGCCACTGGGATGGCCCCCTGTGCGCAATATTTTTAATTGAATTGGACCAAGAAGAGAACTTTCAAGAGTTTAATTAATAATTCCTGCAATGATTTAATTTCGAGGTCAATGTCTTTTTGGACAGTTATATAACAGAAATACCAAATAAGCAACATTTAGTGCAGTTTTACTCAAGTCATCATTTTGCCACTCATCATCCTAAGTTATAACTAAATACTAATACAGTGATAAGTGAAAACCCATGTGTTTCTTAACAAAAAAATACTCAGAATTTTGGATGAACAAAAGTAAATTTCCTAGTTCTTGGAAAAAACCGAAAGCCTCAGAGTTTGTTAGGAAATTTGCAAGATTCTTGGCATTCAAATCGCTTTTACAAAGTAACACTAGGATGAGCCAAGTATAATTGAATCCGGAACATATGGATTAAATTCTCCCTTCAATACACATGGGTATAAAAATGAAGGGGAAGAGAAGTTGCCAAATGTGTTACCAAAACAAAACACTTTCAAAATAACTCGAGACAGTCAACAGACCCCAAACACAGCTGTGTTCTCTTGTGTCTAAAAATGCATTTTCCCTTCGATGTCTTGAGATGGTAATTTAATTCTTGCTGAGTGTCTGCAGCATATTGGGCACCTTAGCGAGCTCACCAAGGCTGAAGTAAGGGCTCCTTATTTGGGAACAAGGACTCTTAATTAAAATTAGCACAATTCTCTTCCTGGTTTTCCACTTCTATCTGAATAATTGTTTTTTAAATCTGTGCAGCAATGGGCATTGTTGTCAGTCCTGTTTCTGCAATGGATTTTTACGGCCTTAACCCACTTAATGGGAGTCCACTTCCTCGAGAAGGTAACTTTGATTTGGTTTTAACTAGAGAAGTGGTGGATGGCGAGAGAGGCGTGCCATGTTAAGAGACAGCCCCCCCGGGAAGAGAAAGGACCAACACCAGTTCTTAGACATACCGCGTTTGCTGTGCTGTTTATTGCTGTGGCGTGGTGATCCGAGCTTCGTTTATTAGTGTTGCCCTTTTCTTTAACTTTTGTAAGACTAGAGTTTTCTTAGTTAGTCTGGCAACTTTACGAGGTTGAGAATTTTCCCATCATTTCCACATTTGCCTTGTAAACAGTGAATTATACTTTGGGTCATATCACACCTGAGAATTATGTAGCTCTTCTGAGTTGCATGTTGGCAATATGAAGCCCACCCAGGCAGAGATTAGCCTTGTTAAAGCACCATTCTGGAAGGGGAGTTGCGTACTGTATTTACTCACCGTGGTCACCAGATTACCGATGGCAGCAGTGAGGGTCCATCCAGGCTAGATAAATTTCAATACTAATATCTCACGGTGTTCATTAGCTCTAGGATTTACAAAGGTAACAAAAGATAGGTTGATCATAAGTGATTCTTACATTAAATCATGTAGTAACAAGCATAATTTTTACTATACAAGAAACAAGCAGAAATTTACATATCTACCTGTATCTAGCAGGCAGTGGGACTGGGATATAAGTTTCCAGTTCTGTCTCACTAGGGAGCCACTGGAAACCCTTAGACAGTATGGCTAAGAGCAGAGTTTTTCCTCTAGACCAAAATCCTTTGCCTGCTTTTTTCTAAGTTTGGCTGATGCTTCTCTGAATGTTCCTTAGTGACTCTGTGTGGGGATGTTACTGCCTATGCGATTTCTCAAAAATTGCAGTTGACGTGGACTTTATCAGTGCTATTCCAACGCTGTCCCAAGGACACTGCTCTCTATAAAATGCTCTACCAAAATGTGTTTAAATAGTCATCTTACTCTGGAACAGTTCTCTCTTTGTATTGGAGGGGGCCTGTCCTCTGGTTGTTTAGAATCTGACTGCTCTGTTTTCTGCACAACCTGCTCCATTCTGTTGGGTTCTGCCCATCCTGGAGCAATGTAAATTGTGATCATGGGAAGAGTAACTTCTCGAACTGAAAGTAGATTTTTGCTCCCTCAACACTCTCCTTGCTCTACTTTTCACCCTTTGGGGAGGTTCAACTCAATAAATATTTATGAGGTGCCTGTTATGTCCCAGGCACTGGGCTAGGTGCCAGAGATATAAAGAGAAACAATACATGGTCCCTGCCTTCCAGAAGCATATGACCTAATGGGGACATTAGAGATGTACAATCAGTACAATGGAATAGAAGTACGCCGTAGCTGCGATCGGTGCACAGAGGAAGGACACTCACAGCGGGGGGGTGGGGGGCGAGGGGGCCTTTGGAGGGAGGTGTATCAGTTCTCCTATGGTTGTGTAACAAATAACAGCACCTAAAGTGATACACATTTATTCTCTTACAGTTCTGAAGGTCAGAAATCTGAAACAGCTTTTACTGACCAAAACCAAGGTGTCGGAAGGCTGCGCTAGGGGAGAATCCATCCTTGCCTTTGCCAGCTCCTAGAGCTGCATTCCCTGCCTCGTGGCCCCTTCCTCCCTCTCCAGGGACAGCGTCAGAGCATCTTCAAATCTCTCTCTCTGCTACATCTTCACATCACCTTTTCTCTGTGTTGTAAAATCCTCTACTTCCCTTTTATGTGATTGCATTTAGTGACCACCCAGATAATCAAGGATAATTTGCCCATCTCAAGATCCATAACTTAATCACATCTGCAAAGTCTTAGCACTTAGATACTCTGGGGGCCATATTCGGCTTACCACAGGAGGTAATATAAGGAAGCCGGGAAAGAGTATTTCTGATGGAAGGAACAGCATAAGAGGGCACAGTGGCATGACCCAGCACAGAGTGTGTGGGAACCATAAGTAGTTTAGCATTATTGGAGCATCAAATATGAGGCAGGCAATGCTTAGGCAGGAGAGAGGGGCCAGCTTACAGAGAATGACATGTGCCACGCTAAGTCATTTGGGTTTTATTTTGCAGGTTCTAAGGAGGTTTTGAAGCTTTTTGAGTAGGGCAATGATGTGGTCAGATTAGCAATTTAGAGAGCTCATTCTGGAGGATAGATTCAGGCAGTTAGATGTGAGTGAGAGAGAATGAGAGTTTGAAATGGGATAGGGATGAGGATGAGAAGATTTACTGAAAAAGAAAGTTCTTCAGGTAAAATTAATAGAAATAGTCACTAATTGGATGGTGGGGTGAGAGAGAGAGAGAGGAATCTGAGATGATCCCAAGCTTTTTGCCTAGGTAGAAAGTGGCACCGTTAAAGATGATAAGCACAAGAGGAAAAACTATGTCCAAGGAAGGAACATTGCATTTAGTTTGAACCTGTAAAATTTGAAGATAACCTGTGGGCAGGATTGGCTTACCGGGCTTATGACCTATGTAGTCGCTCACAGTCGCATACTTAGAGAAGCTTCATGCTTGTTTAGTACTCTGTTGTCGGCATCTTGAGTGTCTTAACCGTTTTTAAATAAGGGGCACTATATTTTTATTTTGCATTGGGTTTCGAAAATTGTTTAGTCAGTTCTGCCTGTGGGCTAAGAACTCAGTGTTAGAGGCACTGTCTTCAGCGAAAGTGCTGAATGTGGGTTTCCTGAGGCAGAAATGTGGATTCATAGCCTCTCCTGGGTATAGCACTATCAGTTGTACTCATTCCCAATTAACCATTTCAAGCTCGAAAGTATGTGCCTTAAGAGAAAGTCATATATCCTAAATTTTAAAGGGATCTTGAATCAAAACTCAATGAATAAAAAAGGTCCTGTTTTAGGCTCTCTCTTCTCCACTAGGCTCAGCTCTGGGGCTGATGGAAGTTAAATACTGGAGCCTGAAGGATTTCGTATGAGTAAATTTGGTGAACAGAAGAGCTAATTCTCAGGAAGTTTGTTAATTCCTCTGGCTAACTAAATACTTATGACATCTGCCTAGATGACAGTAGAGCAGAAATTAGCATTCACAGGAGACAGACATAGATTTACTTTGGTGTGAACTGGAAAGCTCCTAGAATCAGAGGAAGTGGCAGTTCCCCCTTCTCTGCCTCCATCCCCAGCTGTTGGCCTCCCACCCTCCTCACCACTTCCCCTAGTTGGGTGGATCCAGTTCATCTTCCTTTGCAAAGTCAGTCTCTTCCACATTCTCAGAGTAAGTCCTAGCATGTGAGACGCCCCTGCCTTAAAAGGTAGCTGCCTAAATATGTTGCCCCATTTTTGCTTTACCTGGATACTAAAAAGCCTCTTTTTCCTGGCTTCCAGATCTCAGGTTCCTGGTTTTAGTTTTGATCCCGCCTTAATTATCTGGATTTACTCCTTTGCCTTCTGGATGTGCTCCAGCCCGCTGCACTTGGATGCTCCACTTTGTGGTTTGAATTAGATGACACTAAGGAGGCAGACAGAGACCCGTGAGAGCAGAATCTTCATGTGGCCACCATGTTTCAGGCCCCACCTACAGCCTTCCAGGTCCAGAAACTCTATTTTGAGAGTGAACTCAATCTCAAAATTTACAGATACATAAACCAGAAAGAAAATTTATTTAAACAGTAGGGGCATGAGAAAGAAGTAACCAATTCCTTTCTAGAGATAGAAATCCTAGCATCATCTGATTCCTTTTGGGTATCAAGATACGTAGGACACTAAATTATTTTTTAGAAAGTTGTTTAGAGCAATGAGAGAAAGATTTTCTTGAGCGATAGTTTATAGAGGATATCGTGAAGCTGAAGATCTACCCTCGAACCATGTAAGAGTAACTAAAAGAGGGAATCTGCCAGATTCAGGAAATTTCTTCCCTGAACAGTTGGCAGAAACAGCACCACAGGTTCCCTAAACCAGTTAGTTTTCCTCCTCGACACACAGGAAGGCTGCTTTTCCCACAGGCCTTGCATCTAGGTGGAGCCATGTGACTGGTTCTGGTTAATGGGATAGAAACAAAAATGATGTGGGCCACTTCCAGGCCCGGCCCCTAAACCTCCCACTCCCACACTGGCTCTCTCTTCCCATGTCATCCTCTGGCAGGATGCAGAGGTCTTGCGGTGGAAGTGCTGTTGGGAAGCCTGGCTTTATGACTGACTAGGTGGGGACACACCCCTCGCTGTCAATGGACTCCCAACGTGAGAGGAAAATAAATCTCTGCTGTGTTTAGTCACGGAGATTTCAAGGTTGTTTGTTATAGCAGTTAACCTAGCTTGACTAATACAGAAAATATCCAATAAACTCCACTAAACATTTACTTTTGGGTATCCCCTGCGAAGACTGTAAAAACAATTTCCATTTTATGAATATGCACTTTTTTTAGATAAAGTAAAATGCAATTGAATCATTTTACACTTTAGCCAATTTCCCACTTATTTACTACTAATACAATTGGTTAAGATGAGGCTTGTGCTTATTGAGACTACTCTCTAGTCACTCACTGGGAATCTCTGCTCTGGAATCATCTCAGCAATCTGGCCCCCGGAGACTGGGCCAGTTCTCCAGAAAGCTGATCTTATCTACTAAATGCTTCAAGATTTTTTCCAAAATTGAAAAAAGTCTTTTAAGTAACTTCTTTTTGAAATTAAATACAATACACATTTTTTAAGGAACAGAAAATATAAAAACTTAAAAGAAAATAAAAATCATTCATAACTCCACAACGCAACATTTTGGGGATATTCTTCTTTCTCCTTCTATATACATGTATGCATACCAATGGATATATTTACTGGGGATACGTTCTGAAAAATATGTTGTTAGGCAATTTCGTCTTGTGTAAACATCATAGAATGTACTTACACAAACCTAGATGATATAATCTGTTACACATCAGGTTATATGGTACTAATCTCATGTGACCACCATCATATATGAGGTCCTTCATTGACCGAAACATTGTTATGCGGCACATGACTATATTTATACGTGTGTGTGTGTGTGTGTGTATTACATATATACATATACATATACACACATACAGTGACTGTGCATCATGTGCATTGTGTGTAGTTTCTTTTTTTTAATAAAATGGGCTCTTACTATTTTTTTATAATCTGTTTTCCTCACTACGACTACCCTGAATATTGTGGATTGCGGATATCTTTCCCTACATTGAACATAGCTCTATATCACACTTTTTCAAGGCTGAATAATGTTTTATTATATGTCTCTGTCGCTTATTACAATTAATATTTATGGCATAAAAGCAGACACATGGGGCCAGCCCGGCGGCGTAGCAGTTAAGTTTGCGTGCTGGGCTTCATTTAGGATCCCGGGCACGGACCTGCGTGCCGCTTACCAAGCCACGCTGTGGCAGGCGTCCCACAGGTAAAGTGGAGGATGATGGGCATGGATGTTAGCTCAGGGCCAATCTTCCTCAGCAAAAGGAGGAGGTTTGGTGGCAGATGTTAGCTCAGGGCTGATCTTCCTCAAAAAAACCCCAAAACCCAAAAACAGACACATAGATCAAAGGAACAGAATGGAGAGCCAAGAAATAAAACCACACATATACAGTCAATTAATTTATGACAAAGGAGCCAAGAATATACAACAGGGAAAGGACAGTCTTTTCCAAAAATGGTGTTGGGAAAACTGGACAGCCACATGCAACAGAATGTCATATCCAAAATGAACTCATATCATATCCAAAAATGAACTCAAAATGGATGAAAGACTTGAATGAAGACCTGAAACCATAAAACTCCTGGGCAGTAAAACTTACATACGCAGTAAGCTTCTGGACGTTGGTTTTGGTGATGATTTTTTGGCTCTGACACCAAAAGCAAAGGCAACAAAAGCAAAATAAACAAGTGGGACTACATCAAACTAAAATGTTTCTGCACAGCAAGGAAACCATCAACAAAATGAAAAGGCAATCTGCAGAATGAGAGAAAATATTTTCAAATCATATATCTGATAACGGGTTAATATCCAAAATATATAAAGAACTCATACAACTCAATAGCAAAAAAACCAAACAATCCAATTAAGAAATGGGCAGAGGAGCTGAAGAGAAGGGAACCCTTGTGCACTGTTGGTGGGAAATTGGTGTAGCAAGTATGGAAAACAGTATGGAGGTTCCTCAAAAAATTAAAAATAGAACTACTATATGATCTAGCAATTTCACTTCTGAGTATTTATCTGAAGAAAACAAAAATATTAACTTGAAAAGATACATGCACCCCATGTTCACTGCAGCATTATTTACAATAGCCAAAATATAAAAACAATCTAAGTTTCCATTGATAAATGAATGGATAAAGAAAATGTGGTATATATTTGTAATGGAATATTATTCAGCCATAAAAGAGAATGAAATCTTGAGACATGTGAGACAACATGGATGAACCTTAAGGGCATTATGCTGAGTGAAATGTCAGACAGAGAAAAATAAGTACTGTATGATCTCACTTACATGTGAAATCTAAAAACAACACAGACAAAAACTGGGCTCATAGATACAGAGAACACATTGGTGGTTGCCAGAGGTGGGGGTTGGGAGTGGGTTAAATGGGTAAAGGAGATGAAAAGGTACAAACTTCCGGTTATAAAATAAGTCATGGGGACGTAATGTACAGCATGGTGACTATAGTTAACAATACTGCATCATATATTTGAAAGTTTCTAAGAAAGTAGATCTCAAAAAGTTCTTATCATAAGAAAAAAAAATTCGTAACTATGTATGGTGACAGATGTGAACTATTGAGACATTGTGGTGATCATTTCACAGTATGTACAAATATTGAATCATTAAGTCATATACCTGAAACGAATACAACGTTATATGTCAATTATATCTAAATTAAAAAAAGAAGCTCACAGGGGCTGGCCCCGTGGCCAAGTGGTTAAGTTTGTGCACTGTGCTTCGGTGGCCCAGGGTTTCACGAGCTTGGATCCTGGGCGCGGACATGGCACTGCTCGTCAGGCCACGCTGAGGTAGAGTCCCACATGACACAACTAGAAGGACCCACAACTTCAATATACAACTATGTACTGGGGGAGGGCTTTGGGGAGAATGAAAAAAAAAAAGAAGATTGGCAACAGATGTTAGCTTAGGTGCCAATCTTTAAAAAAAAACAAGCTCACGATAAATGAATAAACACCACCAAAAAAACAGTCTCCAGAACCAATTTAACATTTATACCATGTTTTTGGTTTGTTTCTGTTTTGCTATTACAAGCCACACCACACTGAACATCTTCGCATCATTTCATCTTTGCATAATTGTGGAATTATCTTCTAGTGACAAATTCCTAAAGGTGAGAACAATGTATCAAAGGATATGCTCATTTTATATTTTGATAGATACTGCCAAACTACCCCATAAAAAAGTAACAGTTTGTAGTATCACCTATATTTTATGGGACTGTTCCTTTTACATATATTTGCCAACAATGGGTTTTATCCAAAGTGTTTATCGTGACAAATCTGATGGGGAAATGCTATCCTGACTTCACTTGCACTTCTTTGATCTTCAGGGAGACTCAACATATTCTCATATTTTTGTTGGTAAATTTCCTTTTCACGTCCTTTGCCCGTATTTCTCTTGGTCTGTCTATCTTATCAGTTTGAAGAGCTCTTTGTACAGAAGAGAGAGTGACCCTTTGTCCCTCATATCTGTTGCAGATATTTTTTAACTTTGCGGGGTTTGTTCCATATTGAAGATGTTATGTAGACAAATATAGCTATCATTTTCTTGGGCTTCTGAATATCATGTGATGCTTTCAACCTCAACTCTATATTTTCTTCTCATTTTTTATGTTTTTACATACAATTTAATTTCTTTGAAATTTATTCTGGTATAAAGTAAGGATACTAGCTTGATTTTGCCCAGAAATCATCACTAATTAATGTTACTACCATTTATTGAGTGTTTACCTGGGCACTGTTCTAAATGCTTTGAATGAAATAACTCATTCAATCCTCATAACAACCCTATGAGAGGCATTATCATTATCTTCATTTTAGATATGAAGAAACTGAGGCAAAATGAGGTTAGTAACTGGCTCACTTCCAGTAAGAGAAGAGCCCTGACCGAGTCTATCCCCAGGGCTCTCGTGGTCGATCTCCATCTCTCTAGTGCCAAAGCCAGTTTTCAAAAAATTATATACATATTGTTCTTTTTCTGATTACAAAAGTAATATATTTCAATTATAGAAAATCCAGAAAATAGTAAAAATGCACAAAGACAAAAACTAAAATCATCTTTAATCTTATTACCAGAGATAACTAGTATTAACTTTGGGTACACTGCAGGTCCTCATGGGTTTTTTTTTTTTTGTCTCTATAGATTTTTTCCTCAGTTTTGCAGAGTTATAACTGACATACTTCACTGTTTGAGTTTAAGGCACACGGCATAATGGTTTGACTTAAACATACTGTATTGTGAAATGATTACCATAATTAGTT